AATGGTGTTGCGGAGAGAAAAAATCGAACTTTGTTATGCAGGGTTCATTCCATGATGAGTCGAGCTTCGCTTCATAATTCTTTTTGGGGATATGCCTTAGAGAAAGCTTCCTATATTCTTAATCTTGTCTATACTAGAAAGTTTTCCAAAAGACCTCACGAGATGTAGACAGGAAAAGTTCCCATACTAGGCCCCATCTAGGTTTAGGGATGTGAAGTGTTCATTAGACGAGAAACTCAAGATAAGCTAGAATTGAGAAGTGAGAAATGTATTTTCATGTGGTCTTTGTAGCTCGAAGAGGAGTCTTTCGCGAGAGAGAGCCCATATTTAAAGAGGACACTAGGAGTGCTATTGATCTGGAAGAAATTCAAGAATCAATCAAAGAACGAACCTTAGAATACACTAGTTCTCAACCAGAGGATGAGACTCTTGTTAAGCCCGTTAACAGTTCATTAACTCTTTGCCGATTAAGTAGAGTTAGCATGCCACCTACGCTCTATGGTTTCCATATAATGTAAGATGGTGATATGTTTATTAGTGATGGTACACTGGTAAATTTGGATGAGTCGACCAAATACAAGGACACAAGGACGAGCGTTGAGACTGCTAAACGGAAAGAGGAAATATAAATCAAGATTTAGTCCATGTTTGACAACATGGTTTGGAATTTGGTTGGTTATGAACTTGGTCGTAAGACCGTAGGTTACAAATGAATCTTCAAGAAGAAGATCAACATTGATGTGAAAGTGCACACGTTCAAAGAGTGGCTAGTTGCAAAGGCATTTACTTAAACCTTTGGGGTTGACTATCATGAGACCTTTTAACTGGTGGCTAACATCAAGTCTATAAGGATAATGTTTTCCATATTTGACTTTCATGATTATGAAATATGGCAAATGGATGTCAAAACTGCTTACTGTAATGGGAAGTTGGATGAGAATGTTTACACGTGTCATCCAGAGGGCTTTGTACATGCAAAGTTTCCTAATAGAGTGTGTAAGCTTGAGAAATCCATTTATGGATTGAAACAAGTATATTGTAGCTAGAATCTTTGTTTCCATGATATAGTGAATGATTTTGGTTTCTCTAGGAGCGAGGATGAATCTTACGTGTGTGTCAAATATAATGGGGTATGGTAACCTTCCTAATGTTGTATGTTGATGAAATACTCATTGAGGGAAACGACATTCCGACCTTTTAAGAAGTGAAATATTGGCTCAGGAAGTGTTTCTCCATGAATGATCTAGGGGAAGCAACCTATATTCTTGGAATAAGGATTTTGAGGGATAGAAAGAATAGACTTATTGGTCTTAGTCAAAGTACTTGGATAAAATACATAAACATTTTAGTATGGAAAATTCCAGGAAAAGGGAACTTCCTATTCATAGTAATGCCAAGTTGAGTTACACTCAAAGCACTAGTATATATGAAGAGATAGATGATATGAGTCGAGTCCCATATGCTTTGGATTTAGGTTCAATCATGTATGCTATGAAATGTACTCGCCTTGATCTCTCTTTTTCTTTGAGCATGGTTAACCGTTTTCAGGGCAATCTTGGTAAAGCTCATTAGATTGTAGTAAAGAATATACGTAAGTATCTATGAAGGATGAAGGATATAATTTTAGTCCTTTGACGTAGTGATACCTTAAGAGTAACTGGATATAGTGATGTTAGATTTCAGACAGATCGAGATAACTTTTGTTCTCAGTCAGAATAGGTGTTTGTGTTAAATGGTGGAATAGTGACTTGGAAGAGTTCCAAGCAGGATACAATTGTTGATTATACTTGTGAATTAGTGTACATTGCAGCAAGTGAGGCATCAAAAGAAGTGGTTTGGTTGAAGAACTTCATCAGAGATCTTGGAGTAGTCCAGACCATTCAGGAGACATTGGAACTTTATGGTGATAATAAAGGCATGATTGCTTTGACCATAGAACCAAAGGATCATGGTAGATCCAAGCATATTGACATAAATTGTGACAACCGTCAAATTCGGGTCATGTCAAAGTCAAATAAAGTCAACAAGTCAAACCGGTCAACTAAACTAACCCTTGTATACTAGGGTTTACGTTATGTAATTACTGTACAACTCAATATGCTAATGAGAAATCACCAATTGAAGAGTTCGTATATCTAGATTTCCATAACCTAAAACTGTGGTAAGTAATGAACCAAACCGATAAAACAATGTTGCATACTCATCAAGAGTGTGTAAGATCCTTAAACATGGCTTAATGGGGCTTATGGACCTCGCGTTGCGAAGCCAAGCACTCAAAAAGGTCACAAAAGAAGCCTTTCCCAAATCTCTCTCAAAAGTTCCTTTAACTTTTTGAAATCATTCGGGTCATCTCGACCCTTAACCGGGTCAAAAACCGCTTAAAATGGGGTAAAAATGAGTAAAACAGCCTTAAGGAACCAAAACCACCTCATAAGAAGCGAACCCTCTTAGGGTCGAAGCTCCCTTATAAGGACCGAAACCTACTAAACCGAAGCTCAAAGAACCGAACCTGAAGCCTGCTAAGAACCGAACCCGAAGCCTACTGAGGACCAAACCCGACCGAACCTCGCAACCAGGACTAAACCTCGCACCAGGGACCGAACCTCCCCTTCGGACCGAGCCTACCCTTCTCCTTCACTCCAATTCAGTTCCAGACCACTTTTACTCCATTTGGCCTGTCTCACCTTCGGGCCCAGCAGTAGGAGGGACCGAACCTTCGGCCCAATATTGTTGGGTCAAAATATGGTTTATACTTTACTTTTCTGGGCAATTGTATTTTTCTGTAATATTTATGAGTTTATGGTCATGTTTACTGTTGAGTTTACGGTTGTAAACACCTTACGACCGTAAACTCATTTACGGCCCATTTGTTTCTGGCCCATGTTCCCCTAGTATAAATATAGGTATTATGGTGTGAGGAATAGATTGATGAACACGAAGGAGTTTACGGCCAGAGAGAAAGGAACGTTTGTGTGGGTGAATCTTGTGTAAGGAACTTAATTCATATTATCAATACATTCAAGATTCATAATATTCTTCTTCACCTTCCCTTCTATTTGATCTGACATCATCGGTTTGATTGAGATTCCAAACCATCAAACGGATCTGACAGATACACAGGCAGATTAGGGACTTACAAATGGTATCAAAGCCAAGTTGTATCAGTCAAATTTTGTCAAATTTGGAGCATTATTTGATCTTATTTTCGAAACATTTTTGCGTTTTTGGATAGATCTCGTAAAAATAAGGAGGGTTTGTTCTTCGTGTTTTTCATAAGAAAGGGTTTTTGATCGAGTTTTGGAGCTTCAAAGTCGAAAAAACGGTGCTTTTGGTCGGAGATTGCGGCTGACAGCTAGGGGTTCTGAGTTCAGGGCTCGGATCGCGGCAAGGTAAGCTGGCTAAGCAGTAGCAAGCCGCACAGCGTTTAATTAAAAAAGGAAGGGGAGGAGCGAAATTGTTGATGCCTGGGACCGAACCCGAGTCTCCTGAGAGCTAAACCTCGCGCGTTTCCAACTCGGCGAGAAGACTCTTTGTGTCTATCCTTCCTAATTTAATTCATAATGCGTCTTTTTCCTTCAAATTTTGATTTTTGACACTTTTAACCCCAAAAATTCAATTTCTTTTAATTTTAAATTCCCTTTTCATCCAAAATAAAAAATAGAAAATATAAAATAATAATAATAATAATAATAATAATAATAATAATAATAATAATAATAATAACTAGATGGTTATCCCCCGCTATGCGGGGGGCAGAGGTTTCGTTTTTAGCATCTGTCTTATTTTTATGGCTTCTGAAATAAATAATATTTATTTGATTGCGTTTGAACCTATTTTATATATTTGTTAAATGGAAAACTAAGAGTATCTGTATATGTTTATATTGATTTGGTTTTCTAACGGATAAGTATACAAATGGACGACTGATTACGGAAGAAAAGATATTTATTTATTACTGGATGATTACGTATCGGATAACAGTAGGAGTCATGTTATACGGTCGCAAAAAACTTGTGATTTCGATTCGTCATGCTTCTGGGTGGTGTTGAGTGATTTTCTTGCATACATCGATAGCTGCTGTCATATTCTGTTGCATCATGTCGAACATATCGAGCATGAGGATTGTGTCTTTGTTGAGATTGCGTTCACAGTGTTGGTGATGATACCATGCATGTATGGCAGTTCTGTTGGAGCATCATGCAGCATGTTCTGTCTGGAATTGTTGATAGTGGTGTACGTCGTTTGGACATCTGCCAAGGACAACTTCATCGTTTGGAGTTGATCGATGGGTTTCTACATGACGATATTCATGATGTTTGTTTGCAGTTTTGTAGAGGTATTAGTTGGTTTTTAGTCTGCTTTTAAAAGTGGTAGATAGGGTGGCTATGAGGTTTGCTTGGCTGATTTCGTAGATAGAATTGTTGACCATGGATTTGGTAATTAATTTGATGGCTACTGTTTGGTGGTTGGATGTGATATTAGTCAGAACACCTGCCCAAATATTTAAGTGAATCTAGTATAATTTAAGTGGTAATTTATGTAAGTTTATAAGTAGTGATCGTAAATATTCTTTTGTTATGCAATGTGTTTGCTAGGATGTATGTATCTGCATTTAATTGCGTATTAATAATAGTTGTTACCGTAATATATTATTAATTAGTGGATAATTTAAACGGATTATTTATTTAAATCGGTATGTGTGTGTTCATGTTTTAGGTAATAGCTATCATGCATGTTATAATGTAGGTGGTGCGTTAATTCATAGAAGAAAAGAAAGTGTTCGTTCTTTTTCTTGTGGAAACATCTATGAAATTTAGAAGAAGAGTATTGATACAAAGAGAAGTTATTTGTTATTGTTTATAGTTATAGGGGGTCATCATGATATGTTTATATTAGAAAAGAAAGTGACAATGGTTCAAACAAATGGATCATGATGATATATTTATATTACAAAAGATAGTGATATTGGTCCAAACAAAAGATCCATTTGTGGTGCTTGTCTATGATGTCTGCTGTTTGAGTGTCCGCTTTGCATTTTTTCTTGGTGCAGATTCTGTTAGACATGAATTGAAAATTGTTAGTATTTTTTTTGTATTTTTGTTTTTGAATTTGATTTTGTTATTAGGTGTTTACCTTGGGGATCGTAGGTGAGAGTACGCACAACATGTTCAACAGGTGTTGATGGCTCTGGTGTTGTGTCAGTTGGTCGCATTCTTGTCATTTGTGGTTGAGCTGGTGTTCCTGGCACAGACGTTTGAGCCTTGGTTGTTGGCTCTTCAATATCTATTATTATGAAGCGTATATTGTCGAGGGTTGATGCTCTAAGCATTTGGATCGACATCTTTTTTGTTTGTTCCTTGTGGTCAGTGATGATAGGAGGTAGGGTGTTTCTGTTTATGTGTGGGTTATTGGATATAAAGTTCTCAAGTGATGACTTTAACAGTTTCCGACATGATGTCTCGGATATTAGTGCTGATATTGTGTCCGTAGCATCAGTGATGGTTACTGTTAATTTGTATCTATGAATGGAAAATATTCATAAAGACTTTTGTTAGAAAATAATGATGCTTTATTTAACTCAAAAGATGCTTACATGTAAGTGGGCTTTTCGATTAGTCCATGTGCACTGCAGTACCAGCTTTCACCTCTTTTGAAGATGGGATCTTTACATATTGGACATATTGTTTGGAACCAGCTGTTTTGATAGTGAAATTCTTTGATTGAAGCCTGTACGATGAATGTTTTATCCTGTGGATATAAAAGAATTGGATGTGGATGTCTGAAGCTGATGTTATTTGTAAATAGAGATATTATTAAGTTGATGTTACCAGAAATCAGATTTGTTTTTTTTCTTGCATGTCATATAGGGTTGATGGTGTTCCTGATAGTGGTGGTGCTGGTCTTGAAGGTCCTGTAAATCTGATGTCATCTTCTTATTAGTATGGAAAGTTTATCATACGGAATAATTGATTTTAATGTAATTTATGACTCACAGATTAATGAGTGCTGTTGTTTCTGGTATGTCCGGATTCACATAGATATGTGTAGCATGTGATGAACCATAACGTAATACTCCTATAGAAAAGTGATTTGTAGATTGAGTGCATGACATAACATTATATGACAATGATAATACCGATATATAGAGGGCTGAGTAGAAAAAAAGTACCATTGTATATGGATGGTTTTAGGTTCGTGACGGCAACAACCGTTGTCGCGGGTGGTTGATGTAAGGAGTCGCGGTTGAATTTTTCTGGATTGGTTATACATTCTTTCCATAGATTGATTGCAAGTTTACTACCACTAATAAAATTGAATTTTTTTTTTGGTGTTAGATAGGTATGAAGAAATTGATAACTGTGATATGCTTTTTACTATGTATACCTTTCATCCGTTAGTATGAGCAAGACAAATGATTCCCCGCTTGCTTTGGTACACTCTCTGATCTTTGATAAGACACCAATGTAATCTGTTTAGTAGTAAATGTAAATGTGTAAGAAACACCTATGTAATCAGATATTTCGGTATTATGATTACCTGGATAGTATGGTGGTCTTTCTCCGAGGTCTATGAGATGTGATTTTGATACGAACCGAAACCAGGTTTTGGGTATTGTTGTTGTCTCTGGAATTGGTTGTATGATGGACTTGAGGCCAACATCGATGTAGAACTCATTTTCAAGGAATTTTTGATAGTTATCTAATTGAGGACAACTATAATCTGATATGGTGTAACACTGTGAAACATGGAGGACAGACTCAATGTAACTCTGATTTGTTCGCTGTCCAAGAATTTGTATAGCATCTGCCTGTAAAAAGAGATTGTTATATGATTCGATGAATGTAGTTTCTCCATCATGCTGTTAATAAGTTGACATTAGATATGTTTTTATTACAAAACAGGGATATTTATGATTTACGGATTATGACATATTATATACGAATATACCATTTATTAAAGAGATGATTTTTTTGAAAATAACAAACTCGATGTTTTTATAAACATAAAATAATTGTTATTAATAATTTTGTTGTAAGAACTTTTATTTATACTTTCTGTAAATAATTTATTTTTTTTTTATCAACATACTTTTTAATATTTAAAGAACATCGAAATATAAAATTTAGAACCTGATTTTGTTGTAATCTTTTTTGGTGACTACTTACAAATCTATCGACAGCAAGATACCAAGTCTCGTATCGCCGGACATCATGTTTCCATTTTCGCAGTATTCTAACTTGTAGCGGGCCTCCAATACCATCAGTCTTCAAGTCAGAAATGCTCGTCATGAGTTGTTTCCGTTTTCTAATAGAAAGAAATGTGTGAAAATCAGTGTTATATTCGGAAAAGAATAAGAAATTTTATAGATATGTAAATTATGTGGAAGCAGTCAACAGCAGAAGCTATTTCAAAAAGTAGTAATGGTCTTTAGAAAAGTGTTCACGAAAGGTATGACAGGTAGTGATACTATAGACCTCTGTTGAAGTAAGTTTCTGCAATAAATCTTTGAAGACAACGTTTTTGGTTTGATTCTCTTCCACTGTGTCATTGGTCTTTATTAGTATTTTTATGGAATCTGGTGATGTTGCTCGGGATAGTGCTACATAAAGTTGTCCATGTGCGAAGACGGGCTGTGACAAATAGATGCCTATTCTACGCAGTGACTGTCCTTGACTCTTGTTGATAGTCATCGCATAACAAACTTTCACTGGAAACTGTTTTCGTGAAAACGTGAATGGGAAATCTGATGATTTGTGTATGAATTTTATCCGTGGTATATATGTACGTTTTCCAATGCAAGTGCCGGTTATGATGGTTGCTTCGATAACGTTTGGTAACAATTGGGAGACAATGAGTCGGGTACCGTTACATAAACCTTCCCTCTGATTTATGTTTCTTATTAACATTATTGGACAATGTATTTTAACTGTAAGCTCATGTGGTGGTATTCCTGGAATGTTTAGTTGGTTTAGGTATTCAATTGGATACAAGCCTTCCATATCTGATGTATGCTTTCCATTTGGTTCCATGATGTCTGTACTATTGTATGTTCTACCACTTGTTCTCACGATTTTTAAAATGTGGGTGTTTATTTCGTCGGCTGTCTCATTTGTAGGAGAAACTATTGCTCTTACTGAAAGATCTGCAGCAGTGGGGTCGATAAGTATACCGTCTCCATAAACAAAATCTATCAACGTCTGTAGAGAGTTTGGAGTGGCAGATATTAGGAGTGAGGATGGAATTTGTACCCAACTTGAATCACGTGGGTCGTCTTTGTCTGGTATACCTATGATTCCGTCTCCAATAGCTAGCAACCATCTTGCAAAAGCTGATGTGGACATTGAATTTTGAGTTGTTATGTCAGATGATTGTAGTCTCATGTTTGTATGTAAAATCCGAACCGTGAAATATGGCCATAGGTATGAACTCGGTAAAGTTAGTGCAATGATTTCCGAACGTGTGCTTTTTGGTACAACGGGAAGAGTCTGGCGGAAATCACCACCGAGAAGCATCGATATCCCTCCAAATGGTTGTTGATCACAATCTAGCACATCTCTAAGTGAGCGGTCCAAAAATTCAAAGCACCTTCTGTCACTCATTGGTGCTTCATCCCAAATAATGAGTGTTGTACGTTGCATAAGTTCTCCAAGGAAGGAGCGTTTTTTAATATCACATGATTTTTTGTCTGTTAAGTCGATAGGTATCTTGAATCTTGAATGTGCTGTTGTTCCAGAAGGTAGCAAAAGTGCGCAATTCCAGAAGCAGCAACAGCCAATACAATCTTTCCTATGGATCTAAAATAGGAAAGAATGGTTGTCCATAGGAATGTCTTGCCGGTACCCCCATGTCCATAAACAAACATCAGTATTTGTTTTTTGTTTTCTATGGAACTGACGACTGTATTATAGACTGATCTTTGGTCACTGTTTAATTTTGGCACCAGCTCATTGTGCTCTTTCATCAGCCCTTCCCTATCGTACCTCAATTCTTCGAGTAGAAGACGATTTTGTAAAATACCAATGACATCAGCTGAAGGAACGGGAAGGCCAAAATCTCCCATTGATTTGGATGGAACAGCAGAACGGAGCATATTATCTAAATCATGAAGCAACTGTTGTTCAATTATGTCAGCAGTTGAACCAACATTCTTATCTGGTATTTGGAGTTTCAAGGTATGTAGATAGTCATCTTTCATCTTATCACATGCACTGTCCCATAGTAAACGTGGATTGCTGACCTCACAGAAAGCAATAGGTGGCAGAAAAGGGATCGTAACTGTGATGCAGTTGCCCAGATGGAAGCTTCTGTGAAACAGGTAAGCCATTCAATGTCATCCCCTATCAATCCAAGTGCATTGCAAGCAGCCCGAAAGTTTGGGTAAACGGTACCTCGTACGGTGCGCAAATCTTGAAATGATGTACATCCCTTTTGGTGGCAGAGTAGCATCCGTAAGTAAAATAATTCGCCGGATGTAGGATGTACGAATACAATCCGACCTACTGTTTTTGACGAGTCATAAATTCTTCGGCTCCATGACTTAGATGACTTTTCCCATTTGTAAGATTTTGGATAATCCAGGTATGTCAAATCACGACCTGTTGCATCTCTTGCGTTACTTTCAAACCACGCAAGTAGGGTGGTAATATTACTGTTCGGATTTGATAGTATTTCAGGTATTGTGTTTTCTCTATTGAACAACAATTGTTGCATGTTTTCCTCATGTACAGTTAGAATCTGTACAGCTGGATGACGTTGATGTATACGGAAGTCTAAAATTCGCCATGCTGCTTCTTGTGGGCATGTGTAGCGCCCATCCAAAAAGTTATGTACCTCGTTTACAGCACATATATCTTCATTTTCGGATCTGTTATGGCTAGTAGTGGGCAGCGCTGCAGATGACTGATTGGTTGATTCTGCCTTTTGGAGTGTGTATCTTATGCGATCAGCTCCTTTGGAAATATATTTGAACAGGTACTTAATCATCATATTCCAGCCACAGTATTCAACATTGATGTGTGCACGGAAACGGGAACAAAGCCTTTTATTGTAGGGCACCACATATCCATTGTCTACAACCTGTCCATATCGGGTAGTATGATGTGCATCTACGCTACGCTTGTACCGTACATATCCCTCTCTGTCAAAGAATGTACTGTCAACAAAGGGTCGAGGGAAATGTTTAGTACATTTACCATCCCTCATACATGGAGCCTTTTCATTAAGCGGTCCACACGGGCCATGAATCATGCAACTTGTTATCGTCTCGTACAATTCTACCTCGTTAATTGGATCCGCAACTCTGCTGTAATATATTTGTCAATATCAATTGGATTTTTTATTCTGTCTGAACTGTTTACCCAAAGTAAAGTATGACAATGCGGAAGACCTCTCTTCTGGAATTCGATAGTGTACAAATCTGTAATTATGAAGAAATTTCAAAATATTAACATTTAATATTTTTCTATTTCTAAATAAGTGTGTAAGCATACATTGAAGTTAATATCTAAACAGATACGAAACTGAAAAGATATAATATTTAATGGAATATAGATAAAAAAACTAATAATAATAAAAAAAATATATTAAAAAACGTACATCTTTCAGATTGATATGGAATCTAATGTAGACCTGTTATAGTATGGAGAGAAGCGTATGTGAGCATAAAGTAAAAGCTCTCGTGAATGGCAAAGAACACCAAGATTTTATGTCTACCAAATTATAACTAAAAAAACATTAAGAAACACACTTAAAAACAAACTGTAGTAAATATGTTAACAATTTGTTACCAAAATCGAAAGACAAATGGTAGTAGATATAGAAAGCTATATGAATCAAATAAAATATGGATACTGTGAACAGTCCCATACTATTATAACATGACATCTTAATGATTTCATGCTAAAAATAAAAGGGAGATACAAAATTAGCATAAAAAAGATACCAATATATTAACAAATTTTGAAAATTCAATCAAATATACTTTTGCCAAATAAGTGAACCAAATATTATATAATATGGAATGTAATAGAGTGTGTTAAAAAAGTAACAGATACAAAAAGTCAGAAACAGAGCGAAAAAAAAAGGAAAAAAGAAACCAATAAAAACTGAAAATTATCATGTAGAATGTGTAGGAAGATATGGAATGTAATGTATAGCTGTTATAATATGGGGAAAAAATTACAGTTAGAACTAAAAAAAATGAAGTAAACAAAAAAAGAGAAAAAAAAAAAGTAAACTGTCAATCGCATAATTTATATACTTTGAATGTAATATACCATGTGTAGGAAGATATGGAATGTAATGTAAAATAAAATCTTCAAGAATGAACTAAAAAGCTTTTATTGCAGCCAAATAACAGGAGGATTCAATATGTAACAAATCATAGCAAAAAAATTATTATAAAACACACCTAAAGCAAACACTAAAAAGTATGTTAATCATTTGTTAGTGAAATTCAAAGACAAACGGTAACATATGTACAAAGGGGTACCTTTGGAAATGATCTTTAATACAACTTATGTTTGCAAAGACATATAGCCGAATATGAATCAAATAAAATATGAATCATTTAAGCATTGGAATACTGAAATCACATCACGTCTTAATGATTTCATGGTAACGATTTCATGGTAACAATAACATTATATTTAAAATATATCTCAAACGAAGACAAAATGCAAAACATATATGCTTCAGCCTCACCAACTGTTTTGTTCTGTTTTAGAAACCGAACAAACTCATGAACTTTGATGTTGACGACTAAAGCAGTCATATGTGTTCTACTGTGGACATGTCTTTGCATATGTGTATGCACGTACTCTGTTATTTCTGTCCACTTCACATTACATGTAAAACGATAAACCATTGTGGTTTGACATAAACTCTACATATAGAAAGCAGATGAATAGGGAAATGACAGAAGAATTCAATTTCTACCAAATTATAACAAAAAAAAACAATAAAAAAGAATGTTCAAAACAAAGGGTTAAAAATGTAAAAAACAAAATTGGAATACCAAAATGACATCACGTCTTAATAATTTCATGGTAAGAATAACATTATATTTAAAATATATCTCAAACGAAGAGAAAATGCAAAACATATATCGTTCAGCCTCACCAAATGTTTTGTTGTGTTTTAGAAATCTCTTTGCATATGTATATCCATGTACTCTGTTATTTCTGCCGACTTCACATGACATGTAAAATCGATATACCATTGTGGATAGCCATGGACCCTACATATAGAAAGCAGATGAACAGGGAGATAACATAAAAATTCAACTTCT